TCAGCACTCAGAAATCGCATGTCTATGGTCACTACACCCTTCCCCACCTCTCCAAAAGTTTACAGGGCTCAAACAGCAAAAAAACTTCCAGTTTTCTTCACTGTGACAAGGACAAAGGTACCTAAAAACAAAAGCAGAGATTCTCACGTGACTCTATGAACAGGGACTTTACCTAGTTGTGGTAAAATGAAGTTAGAAAAGCAGACAGACGTATACCACTGTCATCCAGGTACCAACTCCTTTGAGCTCCCAGTACTGCAGACGTACCTCGCCTCACATTTAGCCTCTTCATTTGGGTAGAATTTGTAATAGCACGTTTTAGCCTTTGCAGTTCGGGAAAGTCAGACAAACGCTCGTTTAAACACTGCTCAAGAGCCTTTTAACCTCACTGTAATTTCCTACAGCTTCACCTGATGCTTTTAAGGACAAACTTCCTATAGCAGTTTTAACACAGGGATGTAAGGGAAATTCACTCGTATTTATTTGGAAGATCTCTTAGGCCTGACAACACAAGCAATTTTAAAGAGGACGACTCATACTTGACAGATACTGATCCCATTGCTTAATAGATTCTGGGAAGGTACTCAGATACTCTAGCTATGAAATTGTGCATAGCTGGGGATTATCACTAGATGCATTAAAAAAATAAAGGAACGAGCAGTTGTACATTTTTCTTTGTGTACTCAGAAAACTTCAGAGCTTTTTTAAAAGCTGCTCTCATTTCCCTCTCCTTTTCTTCATTCTTACTCAGAACCAGTGATGACTGCATATGCATGAGGAAGGCTGCATGACCACAAACGTTACCAGCAACAGCCTTACAGCAACCAGGCATTCGGAAGAGATGAAAGCAGTAAAAAGCATACTTCTATCAAACTGGACACCAAGATATGAGTGTTTTGCCTGTTAACACACTGCAACTCCCAACCATTCAGTGAAGTCTCCTGTACATGCTGCTTCTACCAGGTTTGATGCTGGTAAAACCAGCATCCCATATGTAGATGGTTGAGAGACAGAGCTCAGACTAGGTAAGAAAAACTTCCAGGCTGGCAATACAGCAAGTTACTATTTTTCAGAAATTGTTATCCTCAGCAACTTGCTACAGCTCATCCTGCAAGCTCTGCATTGTCCAAGGAACGGGGTGGACCACCACAGAGGGGCCTTCCAGCATACACTGCAGCAAGAATGCAGTACTGCAGCCCCCTTGCACCATCTCACTCAAATCCATGCATGCTAGAGACAATACGTACAACTGGCACTTATTTAATAGTATTGGACTACAATTTAGATATTTTAGCTCGGCTTAAACATGCCTTGGAAGAGCTGTTCCTGCAGACCTCCAGAGACCTACATCACCTTTATGGATTCAGAAGGCTTAGTCATCAATCCAAAAAAGAAATGGCACAAAGGTCCGAAGGAGTCAACAAGAAACTTGAGAGCAAAAATACTAGAGTTTAGATACTACTCAGGCAGGCACCTGGGCTGCTACTAGACCTCTAAAGATTCATTTCACAGTAGCTTCCATTAAATTATCAGGAAAAAAGCCTGGGGAAACACCTTCCAGAAGATATTATCAGCAATGCTAATTTAAATATGCACAGAAAGATGAATGCTGTATGAATAAAGCCTAAATACTTAAAAGCCAGCACTTAAGAGAAGATACTCATCTACAGAAGTCCCGCTCACACATAAGTCAATAAAACTCATTTTTGCTCCCATTAGGTCAGAATCACTTATTTCATAATAAAGTTTCAGGCTACTATTTGGAATTTGAAGAAAAAAAAAAATCTGTCCCAGTTACGGAAGTGCAGCCTGGTACGTGGATTACTTTTGAATTTCTGCATTTTATACATTACTATTAGCTATGACAAAAGAAAGTAGGTGACTGCCTAGCAATTGGGACACAGGTAGAAAGCTTCTGCACATTAGTATTTGAAGATGTGATTGATAAAAATTGTGAAAATACTTAAGGACAGCTTTGCTATGACTTAGATACTACGTAAAAAAAATTACTAGGCAACTGAGATCCAATTGGTGGACAAGATTTTTTTCTTAAACTGTAAAATTGTACAATAGTAGTTAAGTGTAAATAAAAAGCTTTGATTCTTTAAAGCTTCACAGTTTAACTCAATATATTCCACAGAAAATTATATTGATACAGTACTTCATGTTCTTCACAAACATTTACACTTCATGAAAGTTACCCTAGGCCTAGTTGGAAGAGTCTCATTTCTGACAGCTTAAGGCTGAGTTTGGAAATCTATGAAATATTTACCTGTTTTCTGGAGTCTTTAGATGTTAAATGTAATATTTAAAAAAAATGCTTTCAAAAGGGACAATTCTACTGGTATAACCACCACAATCTGGTTTTGCTGTGAGCGCATCACTAGTGTGCATCTGGTACCCAAAGAGGTAAGCACAGTTAAAAAGCACAAAACTTTTGTAAGTTAAAAAGCAAAACAGAAAACCAGCCACATGTGCACACAGGTCCGGGAGAAGTGCTTTAAGTTTTCATCCAGGAATCTCTGTACTTCTATCTCTGCAGTTTGGTCTAATACCTTCTTCCATATTTTACTAGGAAATCTGCAGGGGAAAGTTAATAATATCCTCAGTGACTCTGGGGGAAAAAATCCCTACTGGCAAAAATTCACCTTTTTTGGAGGACGGATGGCTGCAGAGTTGATGCTTATTTTCAATTAGCTGTATGCATTTAAAGTGCCTGTTTTAACATGGAATTCAGTTTTAAATTTAATACAATGTAATTATGTTTTGCAATATTTTATAATTTTAAAAAGTCTTCCAGAACGCAGAGTTTAGATTTTCAATATTTATTATGAATCACATTCACAGTGCAATACAAATTACATAGAAAGCTATACAACAAACATACAAAGACTACATGAAGCACGTACCAGTCTGAAACGCATACAATACCTGATGCTTAGGCTAGAAGTGTTCTTAACACTCATTCGCAAGAGATTGAAGTCAAAAGATAAATAATTGGATTGAGAAACTCCTTCATTATTTAGGTATTTTTTTAAAAGTAAAACCCCTTTATTATGTTGGTAAGCAGGCTATTCATGTAAAAAAGCATGTAGAAAAGTTTTTCAGCTGTTTCAAGCCTAGATTAACTTTCAATTAATTCCTCTGTCCTCCAGCAAAAGTAATCTATAAAGATCAATTTAGCATTCTGTTTCCAGAGCAAGTTGATGATACAAAAACCAAACTATAAACATACGTATCATCATGTCTCAGCATATAAGTTTGGAAATATTGTATGTAAAAGTTTATAGACCAAGATGGTCCAATATATGCACTGATTCGATAAATGACACTATGACAGTTCTGAAGCACATTACACAATGTTAATGTACTGTCCCTACCAGAAAATACATTTACTGCACATGACTAGGATAATTCCTGCAAATGTTTATTGACAAGTTGTGCTAGTACTTTGGAGACTAATCTAAGACTTCTAGCTGTTTTCACAGCCTCTCCTCACATGCTATATTAAAAAAAAAAATCCTGGCTGGCTAAGTGCAAGTAACTGGTTGTTTCCACTACCACTCAAGAGTCTGGGGGCAGTTTGATTTTATTTCAGTTTGCCAAATTAAAAAACCAAAAAAAACAACACAAAAGAACCAACCAAAACAAAACATTTCACAAAAGTGACATTTTTCTTATCTTCAGTACACCAATGGCTTAGTGACTTCAGGAGATATTTTTCCTGATTTAATCTATGCATAACTTTAAAAAGAGGTTCTATAGACATTATCTTGATACACAGTTTAAACTAAGGGCAAGCATTTGCCTAGTAGCAACAAAGTGACAGCCCAGAACATCTCTTGGGATTACAAGTCTGAATTTCAGGAGAACAGACTCTTTCATATACTAATTCTAAAAATTTAGAGAGACACATGCTTTAGCCACCCACTTTTGGAGCTCCACAGCTGTGAAACTGATGAACTGAGGCTCATATTCCGTTAAGAAGCACAAGATCTTCCCTTTTGACAGATGACTATAATTAAGGAATTATTGCTTTAGCACCTCAACACAGCCCCAGCACATTCAATGGATTATAAAGGCTACATAAATTGGCAAGCCACAACTTTAATTAAGAAAGTTGGTTTTGTGCGCCCGCACGCACAATCTGTTCAAGTATTAGAGGGCTTGTAAACCTGGACATAAGCTTTAAGTTCGTATAGAAATATCAGTAAGGATGTAATATGCAAAAATAAATCAATCATGTATTTAATATACATATATATTTGCATTCTAATACAGCAATAAGCATCCTTACTGATCACTATTCCAATGCATCTCCCAAAATGCTAGTAGCACTTCTGTCTGTTTTTAGAATTAATCCAAAATAAACCCTACAGGACTGTGTAGTACTTTACAACCAGGGAGTACTCAGCTCAGTACTCCTACTAAGTGTAAAACCCTTCTCCTGGGGTCTAGTAAGGAGCAGAGCATTTTAACACCAACAGAGCCTTTCTCTGACTCCTGGTTGCTCTATGCCCCTTCTAGCAAACAACAACGATGCCAGAGACTCATTGCTCCGAGTCCAAGAGAACCTCATGTATATCCCATACGTGACTTGGGAATACCAGAGGCAGTTGTATTGCTGGAGGCCCTGAGTGGACCTTACAGCATCTCCAGCAGAGCACTCGTGCTCAGAACCCACTTCGGAGCTGAAGAGCTTGCCGAGTGCTCACTTGCCAGAATGCTGTTGTGACAACTCTCAGCATAAATGCTGCTGCAAATGACTTTATTCAAAAAAGATGCTGAAGCAGAATAAGCCAGATATGCATTTTATAAGTCGTGCACTGCTTCTGAAAGCACGCTATAAGGAGAATTCATTTCAGATTAGGCTTTCAGAAAAAGTCAACGACTACAGCTTCCTCCCTGGCCTCCAGTGAAGACAAATTTGCATGTGGGAAAGTTTAGAACAGCAAGTTTCACATAAATGCACTTTCTAAACAATGTGTCTGTCTCTGATAACAATTACTACTGCATCACATTTGGATCAGCATTGCACTTTTCGAATATGTCTTACCATTAGATGTTGACAAGAAACATTCAAGTGTCAAAAGAAGTTTAGAAATCGCTGTAAAAAGTTACTAGAAAACCTCCATTGTTTCTAGAGTCAAAAAGTAAGTTTCAAACACAAAGCACATGGGGAGCTATCCCACTTACTCCAGTTCAGGTAATATGGTATTAAAACCACCAATAGCTTTATAAAAGGGATATATGAAAAATACAAAACCAAATGACAAAACTTCCCACATACTACAGCAACATTCATGCCAAGTGACATCCAAGTGCTGAGACAAACCGTACGTGAACACTTTCACGTTAGACTTCACATTCCCATCTGCATGTCAGCAAAGTTGAAGAAATTGTCTACATCTTGAGACGCTGATGCCTTGCTCTCCGATACAAAAACCTGTTTTATTAAACAAGGAAATAGTTACAAATCACGAATAAAGAAGTTCAAGTAGTCTTTTCTCATTCAGGGCCAGTAATGGTTATTTTTACTTGCATTTCATGAGAGGCACAGGTCTGTTGGTTTCCACTGTGTGACAGAAGATTCCTAAAATTCTCTCAGTCCTGGTGCACCCTTTGTCACCCTCAGCTGTTGCTAGCAGACAGGCTACCTGCAGCAACCCAAGCCTTCCACTGATGGGAATGACAACTTTTGGCCTAGATTATTCAGGGGTCACAGCTTCAGCTAGTGTCCATTTACATGTATTTTGCTTGGTAAAATCAAACTCTGTCCAGGAGAGGGAGGGGAAAACAAATACACAAAAACCTCAGACTATCATTAAGCTTTCCTTTAACAGAAAGGCAAAGTTCGTATGAGAAACTCCCTTGCATTGTATACCCTTCAAAAAACATAGCTGCTTCTTCATCAGATGATTATTTTTAAAATAACTTCAATTGCATTTGCATTTTGCAAAATCTACCAACATGTGTGAAAGTCCAAGCTCTAGGACAGTCACCTTTGAAAGCTTCCAGCAAATCAACTACAAATGCCTTTGGCAATGCCCAAATAGTTCAGTGTAACAAAGTGTTGTGGCTGCTAAACAATCTCAACACGCAAGTCGTAGCCTCAGCCAAAAAACTGAGTCAAAAGTTGAGTTCTTACTATCTTATATTTTCTATAACCCAAGAGGAAGTCGTCACTGTCTCAGCACATCAGTGCTGGCACAGCCAACTGACTTATTCTGAAGTGCACTGGGACTGCAGGAATGGGTTATTCCAGATACTATGCTCCTACAGTCATCACTTTTCTGCTTCAGCTCCGAACAGTGCATGAACGTAAACTGACAGTTCCTTCAATGGGTTTATTTGAACTGTGTTTTAAGATTGATATCCTGTTGTCCGGTAAATTCCCAATTAAAAAAAAATGAAAGCTACATCATCACAAAGCAAGTAGTTTCCCAGACTGTTGCTTGGGTGTGGGGTAGACTGCTGTTTGAAGGGATTGAGAATTTCTACTGATTATCTAGCAGCTGTTTGGTGCGACAGCGATCGGTACCACAGTCGCAACAGTGGAACATCCTCTTTCAGCATCCTTCCCTACTGGGGTATGACAATTTATCAGGCTATGACAATTTATGTTTGGAAGACTCTTTTATGAATAAGTGATGAGATGGAGGAACAATACTAGAAAACACACCAAAAGAAGGGCAGAAGGTCACACCAGAAAGAATGCCAGAGGTAAAGGGTGCAAACATATCCAATCCACACAAATAGGAAACCTGCTTAAGTGCATAGTGTAGAGCTCTCCTTCTAACGTGCTGTTTCTGTCAAACAGCTCATAAAACTCTGGTGGTGCTAATGCAGAGCTTTTCTACCCTTACCAGAGTATCTAGAGTTGTTTCTCAGATTTATTTTAGAAACAAAAACTTGGTGCGATGAAGGTTATTAATGGATGACTTTAATCAATTTTAAGTATAGTTTTCAAATGCTAATGTAGCCACCTGCTTAAAAGCAGATTAATCTCCTGCAAAGTCTTACAGGATACATGTCTTCTTAAGAGCTTTTGTCATTGTTTCTTGATCAAGCATACCTATAATTCTTTCTGAGCACCATAACAACTCTCAAACACGATAAGGATGGCCAACAATGAGGTGAAACCATTTTATAGAGCATTCCTGAACCTTCTGGTAGTAATGAGTCTGAAGTTTGTTACTCCTTAAATTACTTCTAAATTATGTCCCAAGAAAGACAGAAATTTTCTGAAGAAATGTATACTCATTATATCAGTTATCTAGGCATCCATGCACAAACTCAGCATTTATCAGGAGTTCTGCAGCTACGTTTTATTTAAGTAAAGATACATAATTCTCCAGAAGCCAAAAGTTCTGCTTCTTCATTCAGTGCAGCAGGTATGTAATAAGGTAGATTTTACTGTGGAACCAGGTTGTAAACAAAAGTTTTAAATCCAGATGCAGTAAGTAATTCCACATTTGGAATCGAAGCCAAAAATCACCTTTAAGAACAATCCTTACTTCACAGCATGAAATGCACAGTCTGAGGCTCCTGGCTGCATCTCAAGTCAGGGTATTCATAGTGTTATAAAAACAGACATCTGTCATTGTATGGAGGAAAATATAAAATTTTATTTGTTCTAATAATTAATATCACTTCACTCTTCGAATAGAGAAAATGATCTAGAAGAATCAGTGAATTACCTACCCAGTATCAGCTTTGTTCTGTATGAAAAAAAACAAACCAACGAAAACCCAATAAAAATGCTAAACACACTAAAAAAAGCCACTGTAAGCTCCTGCTTAAAGAGGCCATTTTTATGGTAAAATTTGCATTGATGACTTTTGGGTCACAAGAATCAGTAATATCACAACTCTGCCCAGACTGTAGTTCTAGTATTCTCCAGACTCAGAGAGCCAAATTAAGGCCTGCTACACATCAGGTTTTCACTGGTGCAATAGCAAACATGAAAAAAAGCAAACATTAGCTGCTTTTGAAATGACTTATTACAAGACAACTGTTTTCCAGAAACTGGGCAGCCCAGTTCTGAGTAACTCTTTGAGAGGAACTGAAAGACAGCAAGGAGCTGTGTGGACGCTGTGTCTCAAAGACATTCAAGTCTTCTTTGAACAGCTGGTTGAAAGCAAAGGGTTTGTCACTTTCTCATTATCAGGAGTGTTCTAATTGCTTCCAGAAACTTTCTCAAAACCATTGCCACCCAGAGAAATGGGGACAGCAAGCAAAGAAGAAGTGTGGTGTAAAGAAGCTACAGCAAAACAAACTGACAGGAGAAAAAAGAAAAATGCCTTTGAAGGAAGGCTTTCTGCAGTACCCTACACAGCAGAAGAAAACCTCAAGAAAGGTTGAAACGCCATCATACTGTCTTTGTTAGGGTTTAATAGACCAGGACATTGCAAAGCAGACTTCAGTACAAGACTTGGAGAAACCCTACTCTATTTACAGTGCTTGGTTTTACTACAATGCGGAATAACAGTTTTAAGGGGAAATCTTCTATTCTTCAATAGATACGGGGATTTAGTACTCCTTCCTAAGGCAATTTTTCTTGTCTCTGACAAGCAACTTGGTTTTTGAGTACAAAAAAAAAAAATAATCAAAACAACAAAATAATGTAGGACATTCAGATTTTACTATTTGAAAACCTATAAAGATCATTCAGTACGTCAACGCTACAGCTACTTTTACAGCATTCTGTAAGACTTTCTGCCAATAAATCAATACACCAACTTACCTTGGTCCCACTAAAAACTTCATTTATAGTGCTTCGACATCCTTCCACAGCACCATCTCCGTTGAACTCCAAAGCAACCACTGGACCTACAGAAGAGGGTTTCATCTAGAATCAATACCACTTTTAAGCTTGGCATTGAAACAGCAGATTTCTCAACCCATAGGAAACTGTGAAGCTTGCAAGAAGCATTTTCTGTTTTTTGCTTGAGCAGCCATAATGCAAGATAAAGAATTAAAAACACTTAACCATAGCTTCAAAGTACAGTGTTATCTGAGAAGAAAATATCTGCAATTCCATGCTCATTTTTGCAGACTCTGGCAGGATTCCAGTTTTATTTCTTGAAAGGCAGCAATGGCACAAAAACGCTAAGGCTCGCAGGGCACCATGGAAGTGAGTCAGACTACACTGCTCAAATAGTGAGCCATTTCACAGACATCTGGAGTACGACTGAGTCATTCAGGCATTTTTGCCTCAGTCCCGAGATAGCAAACTGCCTGATTTTTAGACTTGTTCTCACCCACTATTTGCAGATCCCCTTTCTCTGGTTTCATTCTGAACATGTTATTTCATCCTACATGGGTGCAAAATAGCCCTTAAACTAGACTGTCATCTGATAAGTAAAATAACTTCTGTCCTATTCTTGCAATGAGCATCACAGACCTCTTACATTACTATGAAAAAAACCTGCATGTTGCTACTAAGTTTGGGAGCTTGTATTGAGCTTTAGCATATAACAGATGGCAAGATGTCAGTACTTCTGCAGGAAAAGACAAAAACCAATTACAGTCAGATCAATAAGAAGGCTTTTGAAATGCTCTGACAGTACACCAGCTATAAACAGGAATTTAACACTTGCTTGCTTTATACACATCTATACCGATTCGCTTCAATACGGATACAGAAACACTGAACATCTAGGTGGGTGAGCAGCAATGGTGATAAGTTAGAAATAGTCTAAAAGATTGAGCTTCTTTCCAGCACCCCAGACAGAGCTGCATGTGCCACTGCTCCCGAGCTATGCGGTTGGACCACTAGAGGGGTGGCAGAGCCACAAAATACATGTGGAACAGCTCATTTCTGATGCCTTCAGGAGTTTTGGCTGGTTTAGGGCCTGACTGAGGCTTTCAAAACTCATCTCAACTGGCCTTACGCTACACCCTTGAAACACAGATTTCTCCTTCATTCCTCTTTCTCCAGGACTCTGTAGTGACAGCTCTATTTCTCTAACAAAAAAAGAGAAAGAAAACAACACAAACTCACCTTTTTCAAGCAGTGGAATGAATTCTGATGCACACTGCTGGAAAACTCTGTGAGCATCCTCTGCCTTCATTGAGACTTCTTTAGTCTGTACCAGCTGAAAGCCTTTGCCAGTCATCTGTTAACAGAGAAAGAATTCATGTTAAAAAATGCTTCCAAGGCAGAAAGTTTAGCCTGAGTATCCAGATTACACTGGAACAGACCCATTTCCCCCATACACATTAGGCCACAGAGCAAAGGGACCCTTTTTGCTCTTTTCAAAGACCATTTGCTTTTTCTACATTTCTGTTTATTTTCATTCCATTCATCCAGATTTTCTCCTCTGCCATAGTGCACCTAGAGGAGTAAATGTGAACATTTTTGTTTTATACTATGGCCCAGGGTTGTGTTTTTC